GTTGGCGTCCACTCAGAGGCACCTCAGAAGAAAGGCCTGGTGATCTACTTCTGAAAAATCAGCCATTGAAAACTCTTTGGGGCGTAGTTCTACTCTGACACACATGGGGTTGCCATGAGTAGGAATCAAGGCAACAGCAGCTAATTTCGTGTGTGTGTGTTTGTGTTTAACAGTGCTTGGCTGCTAAAGGAAAGATTGGAAGTTCAGTCCACTGAGAAGCACCTCAAAATAAAGACCTGGCAATCTACTTCCAAAAAATCATAGCCATCGATAACCCTGTGGAGCACAGTTCTACTCTGACATACATGGGGTCATCAAGAGTCAGAATCAACTAGATGGCAAGTGGTATATATAGTTCAAACACTAAAATGTTCCTCCTATGTGAAAAAAAGGAGCCCTAGTATCACAGTGGTTAAAACGCTTGGCTGCTAACCGAAAGGTTGGCAGTTCAAACCTACCAGCTGCTTCCAGGGAGAAAGATACGGCAGTTGGTTTCCATAAAGAATTACAGCCTTCGAAACTGTATACAGCAGTTCTACTCTGTCCTATAGGGTTGCTATAGTTGGAATCGACTCAGCAGCAATGAGATTTATGTAAAAAAAAAAAAAAAAGTTGTTCACATAATTGAATGCCGGCAGATAAGATCTGGGAAGAAAGGGCTTGGATGGTGGGTAGAATGGAGGGGAGTTAAGAACAGGGTGTGGCCCTTGATGAGGAAAATCACCAAGTCCACCCTCTCTTGTTACTCCTGGAGTCCCTTGTCCTGCTTCAGGCTATCGTCCTTCCTTCAACCCCTCAAAGCTTTTTCTCTCCATTATCTATGAGGCATCAGTTAGCCATTCTTCTCTGTTTTCTCTTTCAAATATTTGAAATTTATTTTTTTTCTGACTCTAAAAGTTCACCGAAGAAATTTGGAAAGTACAAGCAAAAATTACCCATGGTCCTACTACTGTGCAACTGCATCAGTACGTTTTCTTCCTGATTTTCCTTTGCCATTTTTGAACACAGTTGGTACCACACTGTATCCATAATTCTGCATCCTACTTTGTATGTAAATTAAAGCATAAGAACCTCATATTATCAAAACTGTTTGAAAACATCTCCTTGAAATAATGCTTTCCACTTGCTGTCTTATTCTTCACCTCGTATTAGGTTTTTATGAGTCTATACACAGAGAATAAATGAGCATTACCATTTTTGTGCTATTCCGGGTAAGCAGTGTGCAATTCACTGAGCATCCATTTTCTCCATCAGGCATTTGTCTCTGCATCATATCACAGTGGTCTCCTAATGCCAAATACAATGGATACTTTTAGTCTTCCAATGACTTGCCATCTCTTTTGACATTGTACAGTAGCCTCTCCTTAAAACTTTCTCTTCTTTTGATTTCTAGGGCAAAGGCTCTGGTTCCCTTCTACTCTAGTTATCATTCTTTCTCAGTTCATTGCAGGATACTCTTCCTTTACTCACTCCCTAGTTTTAGCTATCCCTTAGAAGTTGGCTTTCAGCTTCTTCTCACCCTGTACACACTCTCTGGTTAGTCTCTTTTATTTCCGTATTACCAACATCATGATAAGTCCCAAATCTCTCCTGGGTTATTTATCTGTTTAATTAAATAAAAATCTCAGTCTGAACAATGCACAGGAAACTTAACTAAACAGATCCCCAAACAGAATAACTCATCTCTTTTTCTCCCCCACCTCAACGAAATTCCTCTCTTCCACTGTGTTGCCTACTCTGTAAACAAAACCATGATCAATCCAATCGCTCAGACTGGATATTATTAGTTCTACCCCTTAAAGAGTTTTCACATTTGCTCACCTTTGTCTTTTATACCTCTAAACCAGTTGCCAGATGGAGAATTTTACTTTTCATTTAATAATATTTCTGTGTAGTTTCAATCGTTTTCAATCCTTTACCATGTGTGCTATATAGCATTTTTCTTTCTTCCTTTTTTTAAATTAAAACCATTTTTTTGGGGGGGGTTTAAATTGTACTTTAGATGAAGGTTTACAGAGCAATCTAGCTTCTCATTAAACAATTAATACAGATACTGTTTTGTGACATTGGTTGCCAACTCCAAGACATACACTGCATTTTTTCAAACACCATGTATGATAGCTTCCTTTTTTTATATAAAAATTACAAATCTGGTCTTTTGAAGCCAATTTTTCACAGGAATAAGAAAACATCAGACATGAGTATTAGCCTGCTAACCATTATTATAAGGAGCCCCGATTGCACAAAGGTTAAATGCTTGGATGCTGACTGAAAG